GGGAGCCGATGCCTGTGAGGAGCTGGCTTAAAAGCTGATTCCCTACGAGCACCAGATCTGCCTGTCCCACCCTCCACCCCTGTGCTGCTGCCTCTGATAGAGAGGCAGCAGCGTGGGTGCAGGGAGCCGTCTTTCAAGCAGGCTCCCCATGAGTGCCTTTTCTGCAGACCTGCCTACTCCTCTCATCTTGTTGGTTCATACAGAGGGGCAAGTGCTGTGGGTACTTGTCTTGAAAGACGGTTTCCCTCAGCACCAGCTCTGGGGTGCCGCCTCCCTCCTCTACACCGCTGTTTCTATTAGGGGAGGCTCACCACAGAAAGAGACTGCTCCATGACAGCAGCCCCTGCTCATGGGGGGCGGGGGGGGGTCTGGGAGGGGCTGTCTGAGCTCCCCACAGAAAGGAGCTGCTGCCGGGGAGCAGGTCTGCATAGAAAGCCAATTTTTAAACTGGCTCCCCTCGCAGACCAGTCCTTGCCTGCGACCCCACATTGCTGCCTCTGATAGAGAGGCGGCGGCAGCAGCACGGGGTAGCAGGGGGCTCCCCAGAAGTGGGGCTGGGAGCACACTAGCTGCTAATCCTACCTCCAGGGACCAGTGTTCCCTCTAAGCTGTGTGGCAGCACAGCTTCACAGGTGATTAATCAGCCCCACCCAGTTAGTAAGCTCTTTGCACAGAGTCCTGAGCCTCTGCCTAGTCAGGGCTGATTAATCATCTGTGAAGCTGTGCTGCCACACAGCTTAGAGAGAACATTGCAGGGCACTATCAAAATAGTTGTGTAACCATTAAAATTTCATGAGTTTACACAACTATTCAATTACATACTAGCTAATATCCCTAGTTACAAGGAGGGCAAAAAATTGTTCTTGTATTAGCTGGGAATTACGGACAATGGAAGCTACTGAGATGGTGCCCGCAGATGAAAACAGTGCACAGAAGTAGTAAGGGTTTTCCTGAGCACAGAGACATCCATCTCCACCCCAGCCTGATTAATGCAGAGGCTTTAGTGGCTCCAACCCAGAGCCCTAAGCTAAGTTGGCTCCAGCAAAAAGGTCTGGACTTTTGGCAGCATCAAGATCTTTTGGCAAGACACTCCTTAGTCCGCGACCCAGGAAACCACCCCTAAGGCCTGTGCGTTAATGTGGCCCTGCTCCCTCCAGGAGCTCTGTGAATCAACAGTTTGTGGTGTTCCAGGAGAAAGGGGGAAGAAAAGGGCCTCCCTCCCAAAGCACCAAGAATTGGCTGTTTACAGCCCTCCTGGAGGGAGCCTTGAATAGCTGAAGTTACATCTCAATGAGAAATGTGTCTTGTGAGTCCATGGAATGAGTATCACTGCCTTAGATATTTCTACAGGGCAGCACATTGCAAAAGAAAGCTCATGTTTTCATGTCTGTACTGTATCTACCTGGACTTCAATTAGAACTGAAATTGATTTGTAAATTAATGTTATTCAAGAATCATGAATGAAGTACTTTTCTATACTTAAGTAGTTGTTCTGGAATAGGGAGCACATATACACAATCAGATACTTCCTTACCTTGGTCAGATATTCCACTTTCAAGTTGTCAATCATTAAGTTCTTCTGAGATAGCTCTATTTTCAGCAACTGCAGATTATGAAGCAATTCCTTCCGCTCAATCAGCTGCCTAGTAATTTTGGTACCTTCTCTTTCTTCAGAGGAGGAAATGTCATCTGTTGGTACCGTAGTCTCTAAACTAATTTCATCAGACTCCATGGAGCTAGAGATATTTGCTTTTTTGGTTTCCTTGGAGCCCTTCCGTGACATTTTTCTTTCTATTCAAAGAGGGTTTTTTGGCTATGATTTGATCTGAGTACCCTGTGGAGTAAAATGCCAAAGTAAAAAAAATTAAGAGGAAAGATATTATAATATTATTAAAAACTGTTAACTAACACTCTATATTTCTTGCTCAATGTTTGGCCTGTACTTTCCCCTGTAAGGGTATGTCTATACAGAAACATTTCAAGATAACTAGCATTTTTTCAAAATAACTTAGTCCGTGTCTACACAGCAGGCAGTTATTTCGAAATAAAGTTGAAATACTGTCAAGCTGGAGGACTTCTTACTCCGACTCCTGTCACCCTCATTGTACGAGGAGTAAGGGAAGTCAGAGGAAGAGTGCTCTATTTCAAAATAAGTGCTGTGTAGATGCTCCCAATTTCAAAATAAGCTACGCAATTCACATAGCTCAATTTGTGTAGTTTATTTCGAGTTAAGCCCTGCTATGTAGATGCACCCTAAGAGATGTTTGTAAGATACTAAAAAATAAAATGTGTCCCAGAACTCTGTTTTCGAGGCTTCCTACTTTCCATACTAGCAATGGCTTTCTCTGAAGGACATCCTAGGCTCATCATTATCAGTGGGTCACTGTGCAGTTTCTACTGACATCAATGTTGAGCTACACATGACGTCATCATGGAGGGATTTTACCCTGCTGAGTCTCAACACGATGCCTTCTCTGCTACTCTCCATTAATCATGTACTTTGCACTATCTATGCAATGCAGCAATGGTTCCCAACTGCCGGGCCATCACCCGCTGCCAGGCCGCGGTGGCTTTGGGAGCCAGAGCTAGGATAGCCACAGTGAGAGTGGGGTGTTGGGAGAGGTATGTCCTGCCCTTCCTCTCAGCCAACCAGTGCTGGGCAGGGGCAGGGTCTCCTCCCAGCCATGGAAGAGTAGCTCGCTGTGCAGCACGGTCCTCCCACAGCGCAGGGAAGTGCTCTGTGGCCGAAGGAGACCCCACCTCTGCCCAGCACTGATTAGCTGAGAGGCAGGGTAGGTCACGACACACCTCTCCCAATGGCAGCAGTGGGAAGGGAGGTGCTGGGTGGTGTACCCCAGCCCTGGCCCCTAGAGCTGTCACGATGAAGGCAGCAGCACAGGGCTAGGGTGAGGGAGGCGGAGCAGGCACTAGGGATCCAAGGGTGGGGCTAGTGGTGGAAGGCTCTGTAGGCTGAGCTATTGGAGGGGGCGCTCTGGGGACAGGGCTAATATTGGGGACTGGCACTGGGGGAGAGGCGGGGGTGTGTGCAGTGGGGCTCTGGAAACAGGAGGCTGATACTGGGGGGCTCTGAGGGCAGGAGGCTGGCCCTTAGGGGGGTTTGGTGCAGGAGATTCTGGGGTCAGTGACTGGTGCTTGGGGCATGGGGGACAGGCGGGGGCCTCTAGAGGTTAGGGCTGGCACTGGAGACTCTGGGTGGACCAGCAATGGTTTATTTGCTTATTTGCATATTCATCATTTGCATAATGCACATGCAAATATTCAAATAAAATGCTACCAGTCAGCCAAAAGTTTGTGAATGGGTTTGCCGGTCCTTGGCATCAAAAAGGTTGGGAACCACTGCAGTACAGGTTGTATCTCTGAAAACCAGCATTCTCCATTCCGGCAACATCCGTGGTCCAGGAAGTCCATGGATGCTCCTGGACCAGAGAACCCAGGTGCGTTAGGGCAGAAGGGACAGCTGGGAGTGGGGAAAACAGGGTTGGCACTCAGCTGGAGGCAGTGTAGGTCCAGGGCCAGACCCCCCATAAGTCGCAGAAGTTCTGGGCCAGGGATGGAATCCCCTAGCAGCCTTGCCGGAATCTCCTGACAATCCCCAGAAGCGTGGGGAATCCCACAGCAGCCCCCCAGAATGTGAGGCTGGGTCCAGAGTCCCATGGCAACCCCTAGGAGTGCAGGACAGGGCTGGAGTCCAATGGCAGCCTGCACCAGCGTGGGGCCAGGGCCAGAGTCCCCCAGCAGCCTTTGTAAGCATGGGGCTGAAACCATGTGACAGCGCCTATAACATGGGTCCGGAGTCCTCTGGCAGCCCCCAGAAGCACGGGGGCTGAGTCAGCCCTGCAGCAGCACCCTGGAGTGGGGGGCTGGGACCAGAGCCCTGCGGCAGCCCCTGGGAGAGCGAGGGGTGGGGCCAGAGCCCCATGGCAGCTCACAGCAAGTGGAGCTAGAGTACCACAACAGAAGTCGGAGCCGCAGGAGTTGGAGCCTGTGCTGCCCAGGCAGCCATCAGCTTCTGGGCAAACAACCCAGCCAGATGTCAGGGGAGAGGAGGGTAAGGCAGGGTGCTTGCTGAGGCAGCCTGCAGGCAGAACAAGCTTGCAGGCTGGTGGCAGACCTCCTCTGGTCCAGCAAACTCCCTTCTTCCAGACCAGTCAGGTCCTGACAGTGCCAGACCAGGGAGGTCCAACCTGTACTACAAAAAGACACGATAGGTCTCTACTAGGTCTCTCTCATTCAGTCTCCCTCTTTACCAGAGCCAGGCCTGCCAGCCAGCTCATGCCCAAACGAGGGACACACTTATCAGTCACGCTGCAAACGTGAGTGACACAGCAAGGATTCCTTAAACTTCCTGTCCCACACAGGGGCTCACATCAAGTCCTGGAGCACAGTCTCTCCCTCCCCGCCGGGCAGTGAGCAAGCTGCCAGCAAGCCCCCCACCTCCTCCA